GGATCTTAACATGTATAGCTTGGAGGAAAGACGAGACAGGGGGGATATGATAGAAACATTTAAATATATAAAGGAAATCAACACAGTAAAGGAGGAGACTATATTTAAAAGAAGAAAACTACCACAACAAGAGAACATAGTCTTAAATTAGATGGGACAAAGATTTAAAAATAATATCAGAAAGTATTACTTTACTGAGAGGGTAGTGGATGCATGGAATAGCCTTCCAGCTGAAGTGGTAGAGGTTAACACAGTAAAGGAGTTTAAGCATGCGTGGGATGGGCGTAAGGCTATCCTAACTATAAGATAAGTCTAGGGACTAATGAAAGTATTTAGAAAATTGGGCAGACTAGATGGGCCGAAGGGTTCTTATCTGCCGTCACATTCTATGTTTCTAGGCAACAATATTTAATGTCAATCAGTATTTGCTAAGGCTAGTAAGGTATTGTCATGTATAAAAAGGGGCATTAATTGTCAGGATGAACATCTAATTTTGCCTCTTCACAAACCACACATTGAATATGCTGTGCAATTTTGGGCACTTGTTCTAAAGAAGAATATTAGGGCACTGGAAAAAGTTACAAAATTAATAAAAGGAATGGAACACTTTATTTATAAAGAAAGGTTAACAAATTTCAATCTCTTTAGTTTAGAAAAACAGCACCTAACGGGGGATATGATAGCATTATACAAATATATTTGGGCCCAAAACAAACCAATGTCTGGAAATATGTTCATAAACAGGACTATACATAGGGCACAGGGTCATGCAACTGGAAGAAATGAGATTTAGTCTAAAGCAAAGGAAAGAATGTGGAATGCTCTGCCTAAAGAGGTAGATGTTCAAACTTCTCTGGCTATGGGGTCGGCTGATTCTCCCTGCTGCCGTGGTGTCACTACGTACAGGGACCACTTGTCTTCAGCCTGAGGCCTTAGTAAGTGCTCGTGCCTGTTTGCCATTGATCCCATCAACAGGATCGTGGGCCCAGGGTTCCACTGGTTCCCGATCTCCTCCCTGGGGGTATGGCAGGCAGTGGAGGAGTTCCTCCTGGTGAGTGCCCAGCTCAGATGAAGGGCGAGCAGTCGCATTGGCAGCACTAGCCACATGAGTGGTGTGTCATACTGGGGCACTAGGGCCATGCGCTTGACGTGTCTATGATCTTGGGAGTTGCTGTATGGTTTGGGTCTTCTGCTGATGTCTGCCCTCTGGATTCTGCGGTGGCTGCGTCTGTGCTGCACGGGATTCAATCCGGCACCAGAACACTGCACAGATGTTGTCAAAGGCTGCATTTAATTTTGCTTCCCATTCAGACCTCCGTGTCATCTCTGCTGCAGTTGCCATTTTTGTTTCGGCTTGGTGGTAAAGAGTATCCTGGGAGGCCGGTGAGTCGCTCATGTTGTATAGTTGCTGCTCCCCCATGTGGGACCGGGATACCCCCCACCGGTCGGGGGGGGGGATTGGGTCAGTTGTGGCACTCTAACGGCGGTTGGTTGGGAGACCGGCTGTGTCCCCCCTCCATGTAGTCCGCCGTCCGAGTAGGCCGCAGTGTGTGAGTCTGGCCGCACTTGTGAGGACTCCCTGTCGGTGGGTGACTCTGGTATGAGCCCTTTAGTCTCGGTTTTGCCGTTTGCTAGGCTGGCTTTTTATGATTGTCGCCATGTTTGTGTGCGGAGCTCCCCTCAGACACGTCCGTTGGCCATGCTTCCGATCACAAATTTTATCCAAATCTATTTAATACCAGGTCATTCACCAACTGGAATGATAAATTTGCTGGATATTCAGAAAATACTGAGTGTCACAGAGAGCAAATGCCTCTGGCTTGGCTGTATTTAAAAGTGGAACCGGAGTTCCACCTATAAATGCCACCACTAGTGGAGCTAGACAGTAAAAGATAACTAAGCCTTCATCCTTCATACACACTAAATCAATCATTAAAATATGTCAAAAACACATGCAATTAATTTTCATAATGATCACACATCTGTAAAGGTTAATACACTATGTATCAAGTTTGATTGAGAAACTATCTGAAAAATGCATTATATTGTAAAGAAAATGTTTTCGGAATTACCAGCATCATCTATGCACCTAAATTAGAAAAAAAAATCTATGGTAAGTCCAGACTAGGTTCTAATTGATTATTTGTTTGCCTGTAAAGTTGTTTCTGGTTTACCTTTGATAAAATGCAACGTCACCTTCAGATGACACATTAAACAAATCACCAGCCTTTCTCACATTTTAATTAGTTCCTGAGTCATTAATCAGGATGCTGGAGGGAACGATAATATTACTCACAAGTTAAAAATTCTGTTCTCTGTAGAGATTTGCCTACTAGTTGTGTTTTGGGATTGACTCTACAAAGATGGTCGGATCATGGTTGGCCACACACACACTCATACACAAACGCAAAAGCACTCACCCACACTTTGGCTGTTTGGCTTAATTATGTATCTCCAAAGTGTCACAGAGACATGTAACCCAGCAAGCAACTAGCCCGATGGCCAAACATATTAAGCCCATGTCACCAAAAAAGAGATAATTGATGGATAGGGAACAGCCAACAAATAATGATTTTATTGATGGATCAAGTGAGAAAAGGAAGAAAAAATGAGTTTAAAAAAAAGAAATCTATATTTACACACTATATTTTTAACTATATTGTTAATGTTATTCCTCTTTTTCCCTCTGTTGGTGTTAGGATTCCTGGAACCTGAACATACAGACAGAATCACTAAAAGAATAAGTTCGTAATACCAGTCCTTAGAATGGTCGGTTAATCAAACTAACAGAGTCATTATAGCAACTCAGGGTCAAAGGAGTACAGAGATCAAAAAATATTATTAAACAAGCTGAAGTCAATGGATAACAAAGGACAGGATAAACATAGACAAGAGCCAGAATACAATACCAAGAAACACAAGAGGAACACACTATTGGGTTATCAAGAAACCACAACAGGTCAACAAGTAATGGGCGAGGTAAGTATATATAGGCATCACTTCCACCTGTATGGTCCTTTTCCATTTGGAATTGACCACTATTCGTGGAAGGTTCTTGACCTTCCTAATCTGACCTCTGATGTCATTCTTGTGCACCGAATTCTGTCTACCGAACTCCGTGTTTGGTTCACCGAATGCTGAATTCGGGAGTTTGCTCGGTCGCACATATATACACACTGCACGCTTCAGATGGAACGCTGGAGGGGATCACGGCATTCGGAGCTTCAGTGGGAAGTAAGTGTGCAGGAAGCCTGACAGTTGGTTATTTTTTCCTCAGTTTGTCTGGAAACCAAATGGCGATAAAATGTGTTCTGCAAAATATGCACATTGTATTTATATTGTGTATATATTTTTCAGTAAACGGGCTGGCCCATTTTCACATCCTTTTTGGTATTAGATTGTGTGGAAGATTAAATGCCACACGAGAAGTATCAAAGATATCAAAAAATATATAACATTTAATATACATGTGTAAACTTTTCCCTATGTGTAATTCCCAATTTTAATCACTAGGGGTCCTCATTATCACAGGGCTGCGTTAGTCAACACATATGTGCTGCAGCTTAATCAAAAGTTGCCCAAAATATAATAATACACAGGTGCAATGTCCACACTTGGCCACTAGGGGATATTAATGAAGTTGGATAGTGTCTAGGAGGGTAAAGAGCATTTGATCAGCCACAATAGATAAAGGGATAACCTGGCTGCAGGAAAAAGCTACAGTATATTTAATAAGTTGCCCAAAACAGAGTCCCTAAGTGTAATGTCCACAGAAAACCATCAAGAGGTAATCAACAGATATGGTGGTTTCAAAGAGTGGTATAACACACCAAATGAGTCCTATCCAGTAAAGGGCTAAAAAACAATGTCCCACATAGGCTGTGTCCTGTGCTAGCCCTATTCAGCAGGCTACAGCAAGCTAATAGTATTTCTACTTATTTGCCAATCCTTTGGGACATTGAAAACATATATAGTACACATAAGGAAATAAAATAAAATGAAAAATTAACTTTTATTTTTAACTACTGTTTTTAACTTTTTTTAGTGGGCAACTAATCTAGACTCTAGGAACTCTCTTTTACTTTTTTTTTCTTTTAATATTTAACAGAATCTTTTTCCACGGACGATATTCTAACTTTTACACGTATGAGAGTCGTCCATCCCAAACAAAATTTCAATTTCGGGAAAAAGAATTCAGCCAAACCAAACTTTTACTCCTTACACCAGTCTACAGCAGAAAAACAAGGTATGCTGACCAGTGGAAGGGTAGATTTTATGACGTGGGCAGCGGCAGTGTAAAACCATTTAAATGGGCTCTCTATTCTCTTTTCATTATTTTATTTATTTATTTTTGCCATCAGAGAACTAAATCTGGCCTTTTGTTTTTTATAACTCAATGATTATAAAACAGCCCAGTAGGGCCATCAAGTCTATATTTTTGATATGGTTAGGAGATGATTCACAAGGCACACATTAGAAGATATGCTTCAAGTCTGAAGAATTAGAAATCTTATTAAGATCATGCGTTACAACATAGTAAGGGAGATTAATCAAAGTGTCACAGACCGTTTTGCAATGTTTCAGGTGATGCTCTATATTTGGCAGTGTTTTCTAAAATGAATAAAACATCATGGAATTTAGGTAGAGAAAAGCCACCACTTTTTATACCATTTTAAGAGCAATGTAAGAAGTGTGATCATATTAGAGACCATTTCAGAACACTTTGATTAATCTCCTGTAATGTTTACGGTGCTTTTGTGGCTATTATCTAATATCTTTCTATTAACATATCTACTAAACAGTGATAAGTTGCAGACTAACACAAATTAGGTCAAAAAATTAACCGAATCACATCTTCATCCCTGTTACTGCACCAAAATCAGCAAATATAAAATCTCACTGTAAATATGTGTTTATCTTCTCCAAAACAAAGAAATATATCCTATTATATTTATGGTGGGGCATAGCAGGTATGTTAAAAATAAGTAGAATGTATCTTACAACATCTAAGACAGCGTGGAGAAAGAGGTCAATAGAAACGGTGGTGGCTTGACTCCAGTTTCTCACAGGCCTCACACCTTTGTGATAGTTGATCAGAAGGTGTTTGGTTAACTGATGCAGGCTCGAATTCTTCATATTGGAAAGATCAGTAGCAAAGGCTCCTGGCATCACAGCTATTAATGAGAATAGTTTACAGTCAGATTACATTGTGGTCTTCAATATGAAAACAATGAACCCTGTTTAATGCACATTGACGGTTTTATCAAAGAGAAGATTCCAGGATTATACATTGTGGCCTACCACATCGATAAAAAAAATACTTATTAACAGCTTAGAGAACAACATTGAGAAGAGCTATACAGGAAGTCAAACTTACATGACATAAAACATTTCCGTCAATAAAAGCAACACACATTTATTTTTTATAGTACACAGGACTATTATATTCTGCCTCTGACGAAGGTCTGTCTAAAAATGTTCTTTGGGTTTCTCTTATGTTGTGATCACTTATTTTATTCAGTATTTTCACATTATGGGTAGCACTTAACACTTGTTATTTTTCAGTTCACTGTCTGCTCCTACTTGAGAGGTATACCTCTACTAGTTATGTAGATACATGCATCCCTTACAGTGTGCTGAGGTAGTCTCGGGTATTGTTCTTTTTATCAATAGATTAAGGTCCCTTTCTCTTTTACTATGCATAGATGAGCCAAGGAATTCTTAAGGACCATTTATATTTATTTATACATACCCCAATAGTAGCTAGCAATTTATCCTCTCTTTTTTTTATCAGCCAATTACCTTTACTAGTAACTATTTGTTACTTCTGCTCTTATGGACATTTGTGGTTAACTTTTTGCATTCTATCAGTTTTTTTTAATTCTTTGATAAGTGTGGGCTATTTAGCTCTTGGCGATTTAGGTCATCATAAACGTATTCACGCGCAAGTTTATGATGGCGCAGTCTTTAGGTAAGAAATCAAAGAGAATCCAAGCACTCAAAATTGAAGATCAGTGAATGATGTAACAGCAGCAGTGTACTGACCTCAAATAAGGTCTTTATCAAGCAGTCTATAAGAGCAGATTTATGTTACTTGTTTGGAGTGTGTTTGTGTTTTGTAATTTTATGTGTCCTATTTAATAAAGATTACTTTTTTCTATTTTTAGGCTATTCCCTGCCCTCACCAATCTAATTTTTCAACCTATGGTTAGGGCATGTATATTATTTTTTTCTTACTTTGGACTTACTATTATATTTTAACATCTTCATTATAATCATTTACACCATTTATTCTTTCAAAATAAGCAATTAGAACGGTTCCTGCTCCCTAGCATACACTAATGTTTGAAGCAATATGATGCATTAAAGAAAGTATTAACGTTATCAGCTGTAGTTACCGATAAGATTAAAAACAGAAATAATAAATCAACACATAATTGTGATATTTTTGGTTGAAAAGAATTGCAATATCTAAACTATTCATCACGTAAAGAAAAAGAGAGATTAGAGCGGTCTATTTATTAAAATTGGAACGTTTCTCAGATTCTGCTAATTTGATGACTTTTTATCTACGTCAGTTATTTTAAATAGATAAGCTAAATTTTGCAAGTCAATAATTAGCTGTTCTCAAACCATTGCTTAGTGAACAGACCTATAGGTCTGAAAATAAACCCATTATATAATCACTAAATAACAAATTATGATGAAATAAAAACTGAACTGCAAAATTCAGGCTATAGCCTAGCGCAGTTACTAACTGGCATTTTTATTTTCAAAATCAACTATTTTGGCCGACATTTTGCGTCTCTAATTCACTACAATCTGCTGTTTAGTGAATACACCCCATAGTGATTCAAGATCCAAGGGGATACAACCCATCAGAAAGATGCACTTATGATGTGAATAGCCCATGAAGAAAATCAAGAATTTATTTTTCTTTAAGAAGTAAAATCACAAATCTCTATCTCACATGAATTATTATTACTGAGGGTTAATAACAGTATAAAATGTGGGCTGTGCTGTTTAAAATGTCACTATTTACGAAAATAATAAAATCTCATTTAGGGGAGTATTTCATATTGCATTATGATGCAGATTTAAAAACTACAGGAACAAATACAAGGAACATAAAATAAATTAATGTCGCACTACTTCCACTGCTTCTTAAAGGCTTCCAGTTATTTGCAAGTTTGAATCTAAGAATGATATCAAATCAGGATAAGACGTGAGTTAATTAGAATGTATTATGGCAACTTTAATTCAGTAATCCAGGGGGAATAATCACTTGACAACACATTAAAATATTCCCAAATGCAAAACTGTCACTGCCTTGCAATCACACAGATACAACGTGGGCTAATTTAATATAGTTGAAAGAAATGTCAATTCTGATAACCTTGCGCAGAATTAAAATAAAATCTGTTATTTGACAACACTCTTATAGTAACACCATATAGTATCAATGTCAATAAATGCAGTATAGTAAATCTCTCTATTCCACCTCTCAGTTAACTATCTGGCACAACATTTTCTTTTCCCCATAATTTTTTATGTTAATAGATCGTTTATAAAGAACAACAATTGCATTAAGGAAGACTTACCTGGGAAAAGGAATGCAATCAGATACAGACCCTCCATCTTTAAATATAGCAAGTAATTCATGGCTTCTGCAGTTAAAGCACAGATTTCGTAAGGTTTGGGATGCAGGTGTCAAAAACAGCCACACTGAACACATAACAGACAATTCAAAGGCCTGCCCTATCCACATGCAATGTCTACAGTTACCTGAAAATTAGCTAGTTGCCCTCCCCTCCTCCCTGCTCTAACTAATCTAATTAAAAGTCTGATTTCATCTTGTACCGAAGGGAGTGAATAGTGGATACCACAAAACTCCTTGAAAGGCACCAAATGCGCTGTTAATTAGATTTTGTGAAGATTCTTTACCTGTGGCTGATGTCCAGCTCATATACATGACTCATTCCAGTAATCGCAAATTCTAAAATAGCATCTGTAAACTGAGCAGATGGACCCTTATTGGTTAAAGTAACCCAGTGGCAGCAGCGTACTCAACAGTTGTGTCATCTTTCAGAGGGCACGACCTTTTATATTTTGTTTGTCTTCCCATGTCTGCACTGTACATTTGTTGCGTGTTTTACAAATAACATGTTCTTCCCATTACGGGCATCTTAGAAAAGTTCAACTGCTATAGATAAACTACCATCAAATGCATCTGCTGCTGTGTTTGGCTCAATATAGGAATAGTTTGTATCATAAGCAGCTTTGTTTCCTAATGTTGCGTTCTCCCCACAGTTTCTACATTTTGTAGTGTAACAATCAAAATTAACTCTAATCAGCTAACAGGCCGCTGTAGTGGTTGTAATGGTGTGAGTACCCTGGTGCTGTACCACAAAAATGGGGCAAACTATTTTATAACAGTTTGCCCTCTTACTTGGTCCTGCCTGGCGCCTGGTCTCCTGTACAGCAGGTTTTATGACATCTGGTTTTTGCAGTGCTGGAGAATCCGTAAGTCAATTGTACTGCTCATTCATTGCCTTAAAATGTCCGCTGATCTCTGTTAACCAATTAATGAGTGTCTATTCTATGACATTTGCACAAAAGTGACATTAGCAAGCTGTCAAGGATAGCTATAACCTGACACACATAACTTAAAGGGACACTATAGTCACCAAAACAGTTTTAGCTTAATAAAGCAGTTTTTCTATATACTCTGTGGATCAGCGTTTATGAAAGCATGTTCCAGGTCCTGCCAATATCCAGCAACTTTGCACAGCCTTTGAAGAGGAGTGGACCAACATTCCACAGGCCACAATCAACAATCTAATCAACTCTAAGCAAAAGAGATGTGTTGCACTGCGTGAGGCAAATGGTGGTCACACCAGATACAGACTGGTTTTCAGACCCCCCAAATCATTAAAACTACACTTTTTAGTGTGGCCTTTTATTGTGGCCAACCTAAGGAACACCTGTGCAATAATCATGCTGTCTAATCAGCATCTTGATATGCCACACCTGTGAGGTGGATGGATTATCTCGGCAAAGGAGAAGTGCTCACTAACACAGATTTAAACAGATTTGGGAACAATATTTGAGAGAAATAGGCCTTTTGTGTACATAGAAAAATTCTTAGATCTTTGAGTTCAGCTCATGAAAAATGGGGGCAAAAACAAAAGTGTTGTGTTTATAATTTTGTTCAGTGTAGATCATGCCTCTGACAACTCACTGATTAATTCTCTGCCATTTATGAGTTAAATAAATTTTGTTTCTGTCTGTAACGGACCGTTTCTCTCACAAGGGGATAAAATCGGTTTAGGCGATAATCCCCTTTCCCATAGACCAGCAGCTACTGCAATCACCAACCTCCTGAACTCCAAACTGCACGTATTCACCAACTCTCGAACAGCAGACACAGGAACCCTGGAAGCAGCCGAACAGGAAAAGCAATACAAACGGCTTACACTCCTGGCAGTCAGCACACAATCCAATTCCCCCAATAACGAGACGACACTTCGTTTTGAGGGTTAAGCAGAATCTCAGGTGCTGGCACACCCAGCCTGGTTTTTATTACAGTCTTGCAAATACAGGACCGCCCACAGGGAGGTATAAAACAACCAATCACATCACAGTTACATCCCACATATTCCCTCCCCTTATCCTGAGAGGAAACTCAATTATACATACAGTTAAAACATACTTTCTACCCAACTTTCATAACTCTAAAACCATACATCACATTCACATAAAATTACATATGCACAATCAATCCATTCAGGGGAACAACATATTCAAAAATGGCACAAATCAGGTAAGGGGTTCAAAAGTTAGTAAAAAGTCCTTTGTGACTAAATGAAGCATGGCTTTCTGGCCCAAACCAGTTTCAGAGTCTTCTATCCTGGAGATAAGTAATTCAATTATCTCCCAGGACAGACACAAGACTCCATTAAGCACATGGTTGCAAAAGACACAAAACACTTTAAAATACATAAAGTCACATTTTATACATAAAACACAGACATTTCACATATCCCCAGATAGCTCAGGTCTGAGCGCACATTATTAAGTGAATGGCGCTCAGACCACACGAATACAGTGTAATCGCCATGGAGCCAAAGTCTTTACAGTCAGTTTCATACAAATGGGCTCCATAGGATTCCTATCTGGGGTATAACACATTCAAACACATCTACCGAACCCCAGGCAGAAAAGCACGAATACAGCTTTTCTGCAGGCAAAAATAAAGTCTTTTAAAAGGGGGCCATAGTCAGATGGCAGGAGGCTGGCAACCAGGCTTCTCCAGTGCACAGTGGCGAGGTTGGTTTCGCCACACTTCTCCCCTTTACCAATCAGACTAACAGGGTATCTGACCTCCTGCCGGTCAGTGCCCTTGTTAGTCCAGCAGCCCACCCACAAAACACAATCAGTAATACAGCCCACCCACAATAACTGGCTACTACACCTGGGTAGAGGAGAACTTTGTCCGTGTCCAGGTGCCTCACCATGGCTGTGTGGGTGACTGGTAAGCGTACTGGGTGGGTTGCTGAGTGGGCAGAGACCAGCGGTACTCTGTCCTGGTGCCAGCACTACCACGGGAGTAGTCTGGTTGGAGCCTGGTTGCTGGAGGGGGGGACAGACTGTCTCCCCTTTGCCTAAACAGTCCTGCTGCTGGGGGACAGGACCGACTGTTCCTACCCCCGGTGGTGCATGTGCAGAGACCACTGTCCCCTCTGCACTGTTGTGGAGATTACTGTCTCCCCTTGGTGGGCTAAGCTGCCGCTGGGGAGAGGGGGTAACAAGCTCCTCTCCCATACATACTTTCAGCCGCTGGGGAGAGGGGATAACAAGCTCCTCTCCCTGACACTCTCTCTGCTGTTGAAGGGGGAGACCGACTGTCTCCCCTTTCAATAATTTGTCCTGTTGCTGGGGAGAGGTGATAACTGGTTCCTCTCCCTGGAACACTCTCTGCTGTTGGAGGGGGGGGACCAACTGTCTCCCCTTTTAATATATTGCCCTGCTGCTGGGGAGCGAGACCGACTGTCTCCGCTTCCTGCAGAACACACTGCCGCTGGGGAGGGAGGACGACACCTTCAGCTCCCTGGGGTACACACTGCCGCTGGGGAGGAAGGACGGCACCTTCAGCTCCCTGGGGTACACACTGCCGCTGGGGAGGAAGGATTGCACCTTCAGCTCCCTGGGATACACACTGCCGCTGGGGAGGAAGGACGGTACCTTCAGCTCCCTGGGATACCCACTGCCGCTGGGGAGGAAGGACGGCACCTTCTGCTCCCTGGGACACACACTGCCGCTGGGGAGGAAGGACGACACCTTCAGCTCCCTGGGACACACACTGCCGCTGGGGAGGAAGGACGGCACCTTCAGCTCCCTGGGACACACACTGCCGCTGGGGAGGAAGGACGACACCTTTGGCTCCCTGGGACACACACTGCTGCTGGGGAGGAAGGACAACACCTTCTGCTCCCTGGGGTACACACTGCCGCTGGGGAGGAAGGACGACACCTTTGGCTCCCTGGGACACACACTGCCGCTGGGGAGGAAGGACGACACCTTCAGCTCCCTGGGGTACACACTGCCGCTGGGGAGGAAGGACTGCACCTTCAGCTCCCTGGTATACACACTGCCGCTGGGGAGGAAGGACGACACCTTCAGCTCCCTGGGATACACACTGCCGCTGGGGAGGAAGGACAACACCTTCAGCTCCCTGGGATACACACTGCCGCTGGGGAGGAAGGACGGCACCTTTGGCTCCCTGGGGTACACACTGCCGCTGGGGAGGAAGGACGGCACCTTCTGCTCCCTGGGACTCACACTGCCGCTGGGGAGGAAGGACGACACCTTTGGCTCCCTGGGATACACACTGCCGCTGGGGAGGAAGGACGGCACCTTTGGCTCCCTGGGACATACACTGCCGCTGGGGGGGAAGGACTGCACCTTCAGCTCCCTGGGATACACACTACCGCTGGGGAGGAAGGACGACACCTTCAGCTCCCTGTAATACACACTGCCGCTGGGGAGGAAGGACGACACCTTTGGCTCCCTGGGACACACACTGCCGCTGGGGAGGAAGGACGACACCTTCAGCTCCCTGGGATACCCACTGCCGCTGGGGAGGAAGGACGGCACCTTTGGCTCCCTGTAACTCACATGGCCGCTGGGGAGGAAGGACAACACCTTTGGCTCTCTGGAACTTACTCAGCAGCTGGGGTGTCTCCCCCCTGGCCAACTCTGCTAGGGCTTGCAGGTACTCTCCTATTGTTTTCTTGGCGATCCGCACTGTACTCTCCGCGGGGTTGGGTCCACAGAGCAACAGCACCGCATTAACCTCTCTGTCAAACTGCTCTTGAGTGTAGCCAGGCGCCATGCTTCCTCTGCCGAAGTTGGTTCCTTTGTAGATAGGGTCGCTGTACGGGTACTAACGTTGCCCTCAATTGTAATCCAGGCACTGGTGTTGTCTTGTAGCTGTCCTTCTGGTTGTAGGAACGATCCCGCCGCTGCCACCAATTGTAACGGACCGTTTCTCTCACAAGGGGATAAAATCGGTTTAGGCGATAATCCCCTTTCCCATAGACCAGCAGCTACTGCAATCACCAACCTCCTGAACTCCAAACTGCACGTATTCACCAACTCTCGAACAGCAGACACAGGAACCCTGGAAGCAGCCGAACAG